CACGTATGCAAGCACACCCACACATGCACGCACGCACGCACACACACACACACACACACACACACACACACACACACACACACACACACACACACATACACACACAGCTTTGTGGCATGGCTGACATTGCTGAGGAGCTACGCAGGTGCAGCGTGCGCGCGCTGAACACTCAGGTGGACAGGTGGACACTCAGATGGATAGGTGGACAGGTGGACATTCAGGACGACAGGCAGACACTCACCTGGACGCTGCGATGTCGGACTTCTGCAGAGCGATCTGTGAAGCCCTGTTCGACGCGTGCATGCCGCCCTCGACGCGCTCTCGCAGCCGATTCTGCCGCAGCAGGAACTGTCGCAGCTGACCCTTCATTCCCGAGCCGCTGATGAGAACGTTGTTCTTGTACTTTCCCGCCTCCCTGCTGCCGTCCTTGAACGTCGTCACGCCGTAGCCGTACTTCTTGTCGTTGTGCCACTCGCCCTCGTACTTCAGCCCGTCCGAGCGCTCGCACACGCCGAATCCGCTGCGGCGGTCCGCCTTCCACTCTCCGGCGTACGTCTCCGTCACGCCCGGGTCGCCGATGTCGTCGGCGTGAAAGCTCTGCTCGCTGTCGCCGCTCCCCAGCGACGCGCTCGTCAGACCCGAGTGCGTCGAGCCGAGAGAATCGGCGCTGCGAGCGCTGTGCGTGCTGCGAATCGAGCTGGTGTCGCACGCCTTGCGCCGGTAGAGGTCGCCCGTGCTGCGCTGCCGCTTGATGCGCAGGCCGGCCATGATGGTTCGCTTCAGCGTCTCTTTCTTTTCGAAGAGCGAGCGTCTGCGCTGCGTCGGCACGTCGTCGCTGCGCGCGCGCAGAATGAACCCTCCACGCTTGTCCTCTACCTTCAGATCCCGGCCGACGGCGGCGTCGTTGTCCTCCTCGCTGCGTAGTGACGTCAGCGAGTCACGTGGGTTGATGCCGGGCTGCGAGCGCGAGGCGAGACCGTACGGCACGCTCTTGCGGACGCCGTAGCCGTGCCGCTGTCCGCGCAGCCACTGTCCCACGTAGGTGCCTGAAACACAGAGCGGGGGCTTGGTTATTACACGTAGGTGCCTGAAACACAGAGCGGGGGTTTGGTTATTACACGTAGGTGCCTGAAACACAGAGCGGGGGTTTACACCGTGGTTATTACACGTAGGTGCCTGAAACACAGAGCGGGGGTTTACACCGTGGTTATTACACGTAGGTGCC